ACTTAAAAAAACGATTATTAAATATTATCTACTATATATCATATTTATCGGTCCTAGCGGCGTTTATTTGTTTACTACTTTTCTGACGGTTTTGTTATTTTAGAACAAAAACAATTTTAAAATTTGTAAGCAGGAATTTCATAAAATTTCGCTCTATTTCTTTACTGTGACTATATATTGAAATTATGATTTCCCAAGATTCAAATTCTTCCTATTATCGAGGGCGGACATCCGGGCATTTTCACCGCATGGCAACCATCACGGTGAAAACAAAGGCAGAAAACTCTCAGAAAACTGTAATTTAGGCTAGATGTTGAGACTCCCCTGAACGGTGTAACAAGGTTACCTTACGTGGTCAACATGATTTTGTGTTGTTTTCTTGACTTTAGCTATTTTCACCGGCTCTTCGACCGGTATTCCACAGCAGCTTGCGCACAGCCCATAGAAATACATGGTACAGTGGTGTGCGTCTTAGCAACGTGGAACATTCTGTAGCTACGTCCCGGATAATATCACACATTCAAAGTTGTCTTAAGTACATACCTGGTGAGAACTTGACACAGGTGATTCTCTCCTTGGACACCTTGACTTTACAGAGTTCATTGACCTCATGTCCACCACGAATATCCACAATACATAAACTACAAGTAGAAAAAATAAAACTCATTATGACCAAACAACAAAAGTTAAGTCAATGTGAAGCTATTCATAAGCCTGTTCCTGATTGGCTACCCAAACTTAACACCTAACAGTTAGACCAATCAGAGAGCAGTTTATTTATTGACTCGTATTTTTGACCAATCAAATTCTGCCTTGCATATATACTTTGACTCAGCTGTATAAACGTTTCAAAATCAGATTTTCATTAAAATTCAAACAAAAACAAGAGGTTTTCATTGACCATTGGAGTTACATTGGAACATTTTCAAATGATGTCATTGTACACTTTGGTGCTCGTTGATTGGCTGCTTAATCCAAACTGCCATTGAAATTTATAAATATTTTGTAAAATAAAGTGAATGGGTCTGCTGTGTCAATAGTAGTTTTTAATCTTCACAATATTAGATTTTGCTACTGTAAAATACTTTATTTTAGCTGAAATTAATTTTCGTTTGAAAAGATTTTTGGGATGTTTTGTATGGCATTTATTTTCACTGATTCTTGACAAGTTGAATGAAAAATATAAGAAAAAAGGTATATTCGCTGGATTTTATTTTCACTGAATAAAATAAACTATTTTACAGTATTTCTATTTAACCTTTCTGTAAGTATGCATCATATTTTTAGAAGCTTTTTCACTTTTTCACAAAATAGGTACTGTAAAACCATTTATTTTCACTGACATTTAATTTCTCTATTTTGAGCATATTTACTGCGTTTTAATTTCAGAAATTTTAAGTATTTAGGGTATTAGGTTTATTTAATCCAAAATTATATAATAATTTTTTTAAAAATATGTGAAAATGGGTAAAATGTAATGCCAGAATTTTGGCGGGATAATTATGCGGTAACATTGAAAGTGGTGTAATAATTTGAATATAAACTGAACAGAAAAAAAGAAAAAGACAAAAAAAGTCAGAATTGTTATGTATTACCTGTGTCCGACACTGTAAGCAGAAAATATAATACAGAAAAAAAAATATAAGTGAGAGAAAAGAAAAAAAGTGTGTCTGTTTTTTTTTGTCAAGCATAAAGTGTTTTATTTTTACTGTGTAGATTTATTTAATTTTAAAAATTGATTTTATAAAACTAAGAAAAGCTGATTATCGCATAAAAATCATTGTAATATTCACACGGTTTCACTCCATCCATGGCGGTTCCTACGAAAAAGTGTGTGATTGGTTGGGAAAAGCTGTATTGGATTTAAATTGAATGATCTGATTGGGTGTGCAAAGAAACTGAATCCACCAATCAGCATTACTGTAACAACATCAATTTCAAATTAAACCAATAGATTTGGCTGTCTTATAACGTTATAGGTAAACTGAAAAAACCATGTGATCGATGACCAATGTAATTACATCACAATGTGTGACTTCTTATTCCATTGTGTTTGATTTTGTTAACATAAAATATAGTGACAGTGGTAATTCGGCCAAGGTACAATGGTGATTCAACGGCCGGATAAATACGGCTGGCGAAAATATGTTAAAACAGATTGAAATCATACAGCATGTGTATTTTTCATGCGTTGGCAGAGTGCCAAATCAGGTTAATTTGAATATTCAAATACTACTGTAAAATACTTTATTTTAACTGGAATTAATTTTCGCTGAATTTGTTTGGGGGTATTTTTTATAGAATTTATTTTCACTGATTTTTGAGAAGTTGAATGTAAACAAATATGAAAACAGGTTTTATACATAGAATTTTATTTTCACTGAATCATTCCTTCAGCGAAAATTAATTCCAAGTGAAAATAAATTATTTGATTCATAAAACTTGTATGGTAAATAGCAAAATTATTTTGAAGACCTTTGATTATGAAAATCTGCAAAATGGCAGTGAAAGCGAACTAACCTGGCGTCTCGTATTCCAAGCGCTAACATCTTTCCAGCGTGGTGGATATCGAAACACAGAATGTTGATTCCTTTCACGTTGTATTTCCAGACGGTCTCGTGATTATGGGCATCGTACATGGAAATTATTCCATCGTATCCTGCGGTGACGAACAGCCCTTGCTGTGAGTTATTCGGGTAGGTCGTCAATGCACGTACATCGTCGTAATGACCCTAAAAAATATAGGTTATCACATAAACAAGTTGCATATAAAGTTAAATGTCAAAATAATTTACATAATTATTGTCATGCAAATGAGTATAAAACAAATTGTTATCATACTATTAAATGACTCACAATTATGCTAATTCACAAACTAATTTACATATCTATTGTCATGCAAATAATCCTAAACAAATTTGTAATCATACTCAAATTGTTAAACCTCTAATCCACAAACTAATTTGCATGCATATTATGCAAATTAGCAAACTAATTACCATATCGAGTATTATGCAAATTAACCACACTGTTTCATGAGAGAACCCCATCACCTACCTGTGTCATTGGCTTTTTATGTAAACTACTGATACCCATTAGCGGTGCGCCAGTCAAGGCGATATTGCACGTCAAGATACAATTCAACGTGGAACCGATAAATAAAAATTCTTTACAGTTACAGAGCATACGAATACCACCTTCTGACTTTGGAAGCTGACAAACAAGAACACATGTTATGTCAATTGTTGTCATCTTTCTTGTTTTTGAAACTTTAGATACTGTAGAATACTTTATTTTCGCTATTTTCGCTGAAGGGATGATTCCGTGAAAATAAAATCCAGCGAATATACTTTTTTTCCCATATTTCACATTAAACTCATCATAAATCAGTGAAAATAAATTCCAAGCAAAACGCCCAAAAAGCCTTTTCAGCGAAAATTAATTCCAGCGAAAATAAAGTATTCCACAGTATTACAGTGAGGCCTCTCTATAAAGTCGCACCTCGTGTGTGTATTTAATTGCAGCTTAACACCTACTGGCCATCAATTACTGAGATACAAAAGGTGATCATCGCCTGATTCGAGGTGTTTACGGGGGTATGAATTTGCGACTTTATGTACTTCTCGGTCGTCCCCTTTGATAAAGCTCTATAAAACTTCCATAGATGAATTCATGTGGACATGGACGATGTGATGTATTCCATTAAAGAACACATACTGTAAATAAATCCATATGTGTGTACATGTGCACATGTACAATTTCAAATGCATAAAACCCCTTTCACGAGAACCCTCGGTACGTCGCAACCCTCAACAAGACGTGTATCACCAACAACCGTGACTTAGCGAGGGACCACTGTGATACAATATCAAAACTACAACAATGACGTAATTGTGAAAACACGATTGGTACCTGCATGCTGCCTGATTGGTCAAAACTTTTACCCCACGTCCACGACAGTATTAATCCGTCTCTTCCGCCGGACACTAAATGGTTACGAATCATCAATAGCGAGAAAACGGGACCCTGAAATACAATAAAATCCAAATATATAAAGAACTGCATTGCATTATCAGGTTATTATCACTTTGACTGTGGATATATGGTTTTGAAAGCAAGCTAAGTTACTTTTAAACCAGCTAAAATGTAAATGTTAAGTTATGTTTGGACTGTACTGTAGATACAGTGGTTTTGAAAACAAGCTAAGCTAGTTTCAAGTCAGCTTAAAACTAAATGTAAATATATAGTAATGTATATGCTTACATCGTGTGCATGTTTGATTGCCTGTGATATGGTATTACCACCGTCGTGCCATACATAAATAGTACCATTAGAATCCCCTGTAATCAGATCACCATTACTTTTAAACATCAAACAGATCACATACTTTGCTCTCATCCATTTGTCCTGTAACAAAGATACAGTTGAGTAGAAGTATATATACAAGGAAGAAATTGATAGGTCTAACAAAACTGTCAATAAGCAAGCTACTTTCTGATTGGTCTGAATGTTAGGTATCAGGGTTGGGCAGCCAATCAGGTACAATCTAAGGTAGCTTCACATTGACACCATAAAGTGACCTGATAAATGAATCGAGTTTCATCCTAGCATGTAATGGGGGTTATTGTTGTTGCTGTGTCTGTTTGTAAAACAAATGAAACAACAGTTACCTCAAAATCCGCTTTCATCATTTCTTCAATCGCTGTCTTTCCATTCTCCGTCTTTATCTCCCACCAGACCTGATGCTCTTTTCCCACGGTTACCAGAACATTGGGGTTTTTAGGATGAAATGCCACTTGACATATTGCATCTGTGTAGACCTACATAATATAATTATATGCAAATGAGCTCATTTATATGCACATAATTTATTTGGAATACCACTTGACATATTGCATCTGTGTAGACCTACATAATATAATTATATGCAAATGAGCTCATTTATATGCACATAATTTATTTGGAATACCACTTGACATATTGCATCTGTGTAGACCTACATAATATAATTATATGCAAATGAGCTCATTTTTATGCACATAATTTATTTGGAATACCACTTGACATATTGCATCTGTGTAGACCTACATAATATAATTATATGCAAATGAGCTCATTTATATGCACATAATTTATTTGGAATACCACTTGACATATTGCATCTGTGTAGACCTACATAATATAATTATATGCAAATGAGCTCATTTATATGCACATAATTTATTTGGAATACCACTTGACATATTGCATCTGTGTAGACCTACATAATATAATTATATGCAAATGAACTAATTTATATGCACATAATTTATTTGGAATACCACTTGACATATGGCATCAACATAATAAATGTAAATGAGCTCATTTATATTGATAATATGCAAATGAACTAATTTATATGCACATAATTTATTTGGAATACCACTTGACATATGACATCAACATAATAAATGCAAATGAGCTCATTTATATTGATAATATGCAAATGAGCTCATTTATATGCACATAATTTATTTGGAATACCACTTGACATATGACATCAACATAATAAATGTAAATGGGCTCATTTATATTGATAATATGCAAATAAACTAATTTATATGCACATAATTTATTTGGAATACCACTTGACATATGATATCAACATAATAAATGTATATGAGCTCATTTATATTGATAATATGCAAATGAGCTCATTTATATTGATAATATGCAAATGAGCTCATTTATATGCACATAATTTATTTGGAATACCACTTGACATATGATATCAACATAATAAATGTATATGAGCTCATTTATATTGATAATATGCAAATGAGCTCATTTATATTGATAATATGCAAATGAGCTCATTTATATGCACATAATTTATTTGGAATACCACTTGACATATGATATCAACATAATAAATGTATATGAGCTCATTTATATTGATAATATGCAAATGAGCTCATTTATATGCACATAATTTATTTGGAATACCACTTGACATATGATATCAACATAATAAATATAAATGAGCTTATTTATATTGATAATATGCAAATGAGCTCATTTATATGCACATAATTTATTTGGAATACCACTTGACATATGACATCAACATAATAAATATAAATGAGCTCATTTATATTGATAGTATGCAAATGAGCTCATTTATATGCACATAATTTATTTGGAATACCACTTGACATATGACATCAACATAATAAATGTAAATGAGCTCATTTATATGCAAAATGAATAAGTATCATTTATTTAAAAAAAATAACCTGACTTAACCTTTTCACCATCAGTTTGCTCTTTACAACACAAAATAATCCAGTTTATAGTCTGTACTTTCTTTCACAAGAATAGGACAAATTGAGTAAAAACTTGTCTGTCTATTGGCTCCAAAATTAGGGTTCATTATTAGAACATACAAAAAAAAAACTCTTACCGATGTCTGTGTAATCTGCTTGCCTACATTGATATCCCATACAAACATTGTGTGGCTCT